TTGATTCATCATTAGCAAAATTGACCAAGAAAAGAAGAGAGAAAATCCAAATAACCTCAGAGAGAAATGAAATGAGATAACTGACGCCACTGAAATACAAAAAATCATTCAAGGCTACTATGAAAACCTTTATACACATAAGCTAGAAAATGTAGAAGAGATAGATAAATTCCTGGAAAATGTAGAAGAGATGGATAAATTCCTAGAAAAATACAACCCTACTAGCTTAAAACAGGAAGAATTAGATACCTTGAACAGATCAATAACAAGCAGTGAGATTAAAATGGTAATTTAAAAATTACCACCGACAAAAAAAATCCAACAGATTAACAGCAAAATTCTACCAGATATTCGAAGAATTGGTACCAATCTTTTTGACACTATTCCACAAGATAGAGAAAGAACTCTCCCTAATTCATTCTATGAAGCCAGCATCACCCTAATACCAAAACCAGGAAAAGACACAACCAAAAAAGAAAACTAGAGACCAATACCCTTGATAAACATTAATGCTAAAATCCTTAACAAAATATTAGCTAACCAAATCCAACAACATGTTGAAAAGATAATCCATCATGATCAAGTGGGTTTCATACCAGGGATGCAGGGATAGTTTAACACACGCAGGTCAACAAATGATACACCACATAAACAGAATTGAAAACAAAAATCACACGATCATCTCAATAGATGCAGAAAAAGCATTCAACAAAATCCAACATCCTTTATAATGAAAACTCTCAGCAAAGTTGGCATAAAAAGGACACAGCTTAATGTAATAAAAGCTATCAATGACAAACCCACAACCAACATTATAGTGAATGGGGAAAAGTTAAAAGCATTCCCTCTGAAAACCAGAACAAGACCAGGGTGACCACTCTCACCACTCCTCTTCAACATAGTCCTGGAAGTCATAGCCAGAGCAATAAGACAAGAAATAAAGGCATCCAAATCAGTAAACAGGAAGTCAAACTGTCCCTGTTTACTGATGGCATGATCATTTACCTTGAAAACCCTAAGGACTCCTCCAGAAAGCTCCTAGAACTGATAAAATTCAGAAAAGTTTCTGGATACAAAATTAACATACACAAATCAGTAGCTCTTCTACTCGCAACCAGAGAATTAAATCAAGAATTCAACCCCTTTTACAACAGCTGAAAAAGTTAAATACTTAGGAATATGCCTAATGAAGGACCCCAAAGAAGGAAAACTACAAAACACTGCTGAAAGAAATCATAGACCACACAAATGGAAATACATCCCATGCTCATGGATGGGTACAATCAATATTGTGAAAATGACCATCCTGCCAAAAGCAATCTACAAATTCAACACAATCCCCATCAAAATACCACCATCATTCTTCACAGAGTTAGAAAAAACAATTCAAAAAATCGTATGGAGCCCACATAGCCAAAGCAAGACTAAGAAAAAAGAACAAATCTGGAGGCAACACACTACCTGATTTCAAAGTATACTATAAGGTTATAGTCACCAAAACGGCATGGTCCTGGTATAAGAATAGGCACATACACCAGTGGAACACAGAACCCAGAAATAAACTCAAATGCTTACATCCAGCTGATCTTCAACAAAGCAAACAAAAACATAAAGTGGGGACAGGACACCCTTTTCAACAAATAGTGCTGGGATAATAGGCTAGCCACATGTAGGAGAATGAAACAGGATCCTTATCTCTCACCTTATAAAAAAAATCAACACAAGATGGACTAAGGACTTAAACCTAAGACCTGAAACTAAAAAAACTCTGGAAGTTAACACTGAAAAAACTCATCTAAGCATTGGTAGGCCAAAATTTCATGACCAAAAACCTAAAAGCAAATGCAGTAAAAACAAACAGCTGGGACCTAATTAAACTAAAAAGCTTTGACATGGCAAAAGGAACAGTCAGCAGAATAAACAGATAACTCAGAGTGGGAAAAAATCTTCACAATCTATACACCTGACAAAGGACTAATATACAGAATCTGTAATGAACTCAAATCAGTAAGAAAAAAAATCAAAAAATTGACAAATCTCAAAAGATACACAAATGGCCAACACGTATTTTTAAAAATGCTCAATATCACTAATGATCAGGGAAATGCAAATCAAACCACAATGCAATACCACTCTATTCCTGCAGGAATGGTCATAATCAAAATATCAAAAAACTGTAGATGTTGGTGTGGATGCAGCGATCAAAGAACATTTCCACACTGCTGGTGGGAATGTAAACTAGTACAGTCACTATGGGAAACTGGAGACTCCTTAAAGAACTAAAAGCAGAATTATCATTTGATCCAGCAATCCCACTACTGGGTATCTACCCAGAGAAAAATAAGTCATTATTTGAAAGAGATACTTGCACATGCATGTTTCTAGCAGCACAATTCACAATTGCAAAATTGTGGAACCAACCAAAATGCCCATCAATCAATGAGTGGATAAAGAAACTGTGGTGTGTGTGTGTGTGTGTGTGTGTGTGTGTATGTTGGAATACTACTCAGCCATAACAAGTAATTAATTAAAAGCATTTGCAACAACCTGGATGAGATTGGAGACTATTATTCTACATGAAATAATTCAGGAATGGAAAACCAACCATCATATGTTCTCACTGATATGTGGGAGGTAAGCTATGAGAATGGAAAGGCATAAGAATAATACAATGGACTTTGGGGACATGGGGAGAAGAGTGGGAAGGGAGAGGAATAAAAGACAACATATATGATGCAGTGTATACTGCTCGGGTGATGGGTGCACCAGGATCTCACAAGTCACCACTAAAGAACTTACTCATCTAACCAAATACCATCTATACCCCAATAACTTATGGAACAATAAAATTTTTTTAAAAATTATTCTTGTAATTACAGACCAGTTCACATAATGAATACTTCATAAACTATTACACAGGCTGGGTGCAGTGGCTCACACCTGTAATTCTAGCACTTTGGGAGGCTGAGGTGGATGGATCACCTGAGGTCAGGAGTTTGAGACCAGCGTGACCAACATGGTGAAACACTGTCTCTGTTGAAAATACAAAAATTAGCTGGGCCTGGTGGCAGGCACATGTAATCCCAGCTACTTGGGAGGCTGAGGCAGGAGAACTGCTTGAACCTGAAAGGCAGAGGTTGCAGTGAGCCAAGATCTCACCATTGCACTTCAGCCTGGGAGACAGAGCAAGACTCCATCTCAAAAGAAAAAAACAAGAACAAAACAAAACAAAAACTATTAAACAAACAAGCAAAGAATATTATGGGACTAGCATGAGTACCAGTCAAATTAAAACAAGAATTTGCGTGGGGAGATTCTGAACCCTGAGCCAAAAGATTGCACAGTAATAAATTCAATACAAAGCAGAGAGCACAATTTGCTTTCACCATTTATGAGAACTTTTGTTTTCTAGTAAATTAGGCCCCTTATTAAAATTCCTGTATTAAAATATCCCATGTATGGCATAAACATATACACATATTATATATCCACAGAAATTAAGAAAAATAAATTTAAATGTGAAAATAAGAAAAATATAACCTATAGGAACAATATTTTTTAACTATTGGCCATTTAAAGTTACCGGCAAAAAAGATTACTAGCGATGTCAGTCCATTATCTTACCAAATAATGTATTGTTACCTACACCCTTGAGTAAGATGGAATAGGTTAAAGTTAGTGGCACAATAACATTTCGATGGATTCATGATAGTATTTAACATGTTAAAAACGTGGAATTGAAAAGTTAATTCCACACATAATTTATAATTTAAAAATATACTGTATAGTATTCCATAAAAGTACAATTAATAACATTACTAACCTAATTTTAACTAAAATTAAGAATGTTTTTCTTTCATAATAGTGCAGAAGAGTATTACTCTGAACACCTACCTCATGTATCACTCAATACTATAAGTTAACCACAAAGAGCCTCTCTACTTAAATTTTCATTATCCATCTTACATTTTAATGTCCTTACCTTTCCATAGAAAAGGTCATAAGTGCCGGGCGCGGTAGCTCACGCCTGTAATCCCAGCACTTTGGGAGGCCAAGGCGGGCGGATCACGAGGTCAGTAGATCAAGACCATCCCGGCTAACACGGTGAAACCCCGTCTCTACTAAAAATACAAAAAATTAGCCGGGCGTGGTGGTGCATGCCTGCAGTCCCAGCTACTCGGAGGCTGAGGCAGGAGAATGGCGTAAACCCAGGAGGCGGAGCTTGCAGTGAGCCGAGATGGTGCCACTGCACTCCAGCCTGGGCGACAAAGCGAGACTCCGTCTCAAAAAAAAAGAAAAAAGAAAAGGTAATAAGTAATGATTACCTAATAAAAAAGAATCTCTCATATATTTTATCCAGCAACAATTAGTCACATGCTTTCACATTTGAATACACCAGAAATGGAAGAGCATGAAGTAATTTAAGAGTTTAACTCCATTATTATCCACTTTTTAAAAATACTTGTATTTTCATAAAGAGTATAATTTGAATGTAATTATAACTCTCCAAAAAATATTCTACTTCTTTTAAAGTTATATACAAATAATGTTTACACAACTTTAGTTTCGTATTATTTTTTACACTCAGCACTCTGATTTACTATAGTGTCTAAAGATTGAGTGGTCCTAGATATTTCTACTGTGGATTATTCTGATATTTATACAGATAAGTTTGGATTATATATCCTTCATATTTACTACATCTGCAAAAATATATTTTAGTATAAACTCTTTGGTGTTTTACAATTTGTAGTTTTTGAAAAAAATGTTTTTTCAAATTTATTACATTTGCAGGGTTTTCTTCAATATAAACTCCCTGATGTTGAACGAAATTTTAACAACTGCCTCAGGGTTTTCTGCTAGCACAAAATGTGTACAATAAGATCTCTGATATAAGTAAAGGTATTACAATCGTATTTATATTTGTAATGTTTTTTAAAAATAAATACTCTTCTGCACTTTAAAGACATATTTTATAATAGATCTTTTGACAGTAATTAGACTTTTAATGCTTTTATTTAGTACGAACTCTCTGGTTTTGAGTAAGATGTGAGCAGGTATTAATGGCTTTTTTACTTTGCCTATATTTGCACATTTGTTCTCAAGTATAAATGCTTTCCTGTGCAATAACGTGTGAGCATTAGTTAGAAGCTCAGCCACATTGTTCACACTGATAGTTATCTCCAGTATGAATTACCTTACCTAAAATCAAGTGTGACAATCATTTAAAGGCTTTGTCACATTCTTCACATTTCTAGGATTCTCAGCAGCATGACTTTATGTTTAGAAAAGCTTAAGTTGTTGTCAAAAGCATTGGCACATCTTTCAGGTTTGTAAAGTTTCTCTCCAGTATAAATAATCTTATGTCTGTTAAGAACTGAAGACTTTTTATAGGCTTTGACACATTATTCACACTTGTAATATTTCTCTTCAATATGAGTTATCTTATGTGTATGAAGTTGTAAGGACTAAAGGCTTTGCCAAATTTTTTCCATTTGTAGGGTTGCTTTCAAGTATAAATTTCCTTATGTTTAGTTAGGGCTGAGAACCAGAAAAAGGCATTGGCACATTCTTCACATTTGTAGGGTTTTAAACCAGTAAGAATTACCTATGTTTAGTAAAGCTTGAAGCCAGGTTAAAAGATTTGCCACATTCTTCACATTTGTTGGGTTTCTTTCCAGTATGAATTCTCTGATGGTTAGCAAAAATTGAAGACTGCCTAAAGGCTTTGCCACATTCTTCACATTTGTAGGGTTTTACTCCACTATTAATTTCCTTATGTTTAGTAAAGCTTGAAAACAGTTTAAAAGATTTGCCACCTTCCTCACATTTGTAGGGTTTCTCTCCAGTATGAATTATCTTATGTGTAGTAAGGGTTGAGGATTGGCTGAAAGCTTTGCCACATTCTTCACATTTGCAGTGTTTCTCTCCAGTATGAATTATCTTATTATTAGTAAGGATTGAGGACCAATTAGAGGTTTTTCCACATTTTTTACATTTGTATGGCTTCTCTCTAGTATAAATGCTTTTATGTTGGGTTTTGTGTGAAAGCATGCAAAATGATTTGACACATTTTTTACATTTGAAAGGTTTTCTTCCAGTATGTCTTATTTTTTTTGTTTGAATTTAAAAATTTATAAAAGACTTTCAAACATTTACCACACTGAAATACTTTGCTCTAAATAATTGTGAAACCCTTAAGTCCATTATAACCTTCTTTGTGCACCTGACACTCATCCACACTTTTATAGCCATTTCTCAACAGTAAATTCTCATGTCTACATTTTTCATATCTTCTCAGTATTACTTTTTAAAAGGAATATTCCATGCCCTGCTCTGGCCAGAGGTCTTAAGCAAAATGAGGGCATATACTTGAAAAAATAAATAAATAAATAAATTACTCCACCTACTAGACTCACATGAATACAGTTTTAAAATCTTACCTTTAAAATTATACATAATACATAGGCTGGGCGTGGTGGCTCACGCCTGTAATCCCAGCACTTTGGGAGGTGGAGGCAGGCGGATTACAAGGTCAGGAGATCGAGACCATCCTGGGCCAACATGATGAAACCCCGTCTCTACTTAAAAAAAAAACACACGGCCGGGCGCGGTGGCTCACGCCTGTAATCCCAGCACTTTGGGAGGCCAAGGCGGGCGGATCACAAGGTCAGGAGATCGAGACCACGGTGAAACCCCGTTTCTACTAAAAATACAAAAAATTAGCCAGGCGCGGTGGCGGGCGCCTGTAGTCCCAGCTACTCAGGAGGCTGAGGCAGGAGAATGGTGTGAACCCGGGAGGCGGAGCTTGCAGTGAGCCGAGATTGCGCCACTGCACTCCAGCCTGGGCGACAGAGCGAGACTCTGTCTCAAAAAAAAAAAAAAAAACACACAAAAATTAGCCGGGCGTGGTTGCAGGAGCCTGTAGTCCCAGCTACTCGGGAGGCTGAGGCAGGAGAATGGCGTGAACCCAGGAGGTGGAGCTTGCAGTGAGCTGAGATCCGGCCACTGCACTCCAGCCTGGGCAACAAAGCAAGACTCTTGTCTCAAAAAAAAAAAAAAAAAAAAAAAAATACATAATACATAAACAAGAGGGCATTGCAAAATACCACAGGCTCTAATTCTTTTATAGATACATAAATGTAACTAAAATATACAGACCCAAATATAGCTGCAAAAAATTTATAAATGAGTTAAGTGTGTGCAGTGTTCCAGGTGACCACACACACACACACAAAACACACAAAGAAAAAAAAGAAGAGTTAAATTCACCCAACACAGCTTTTCCTGCTTCTCACTATAACATAGTGCCTTTAGAAGTAAATTCCGGCCGGGCACGGTGGCTGAATCCTGTAATCCCAGCACTTTGGGAGGCCAAGGTGGGTGAATCACCTGAAGTCAGGAGTTTAAGACTAGCCTGACTGACATGGAGAAACCTCATATCTACTAAAAATACAAAATTAGCCAGGCATGGTGGCACCTGCCTGTAATCTCAGCTACTCAGGAGGTTGAGGCAGGCAAATCGCTTGAACCAGGGAGGCGGAGATTGCGGTGAGCCAAGATCAATGCCACTGAACTCCAGCCTGGACAACAAGAGCAAAACTCAGCCTCAAAAATAAATAAATAAATGAAAATAAGTGAAAGCATATCAATACAAACATCAAAAAGACACAAAGATGGAAAGAGAATAAGAGACAAAGATGTAATAATCAAATAAAATATATAATAAAATAACAGTAAGTCTTTCTAATAATTAAAAAAGACTGGAAGTGGCAGGATGGAAGTAGATATTCCATGCAACCATTACTCAAATGAGAGCAGAAACAGTCAAAATAATATCATGCAAGCTACATCTTAAGTCAGAACGTATAATGTTTTATAAAATATGCTTTAAATTGAAACTCCAAAGAAACAAAGAAGGACATCAAAAAAATAATAGATTCATTCACTGGGAACCGATGACAAATTTGTGTGTGTGTGTGTGTGTGTGTCTCACATTAGGGTTCCAAGTACATAAAGCAAATACTGACACAATGGAAGAAACACACAGAAAGCAATATAATTAGAGCAAGATATTTTAATACCACACTTTCTGTAATAAAAATTAAACAAGAAAAAATGTTAATAAGAGAAGAGACTACTTAAAGGCAGTATAAAACAATTATTCCAAACAGAGTTGTAGAGAACACTCCTCAACAACATCAGAATACACAACCTTCTCAATAGCTCATACAACATTTCCCGTGATAGACCACATCTTAGGCCAAAAAGGAAGTCTTATCAAAGTTTTTAAAAGTAAAATTCTATGAACTACATACTATGATCAAAATGGAATGAGAGTATACAACGATAAGAGAAAAAAAAAACAGAAAAAATTTACAAATATATAGAAATTAAGCAATACACTCTTGAGTGTGCTCTTATACAAAAGTTGAAATACTCAATATTGCAAAGAGTCCATCCTGCTCAATGCAATCTACAGATTTAATGCAATATTTTTCAAATTTCTCATTGCATTTTTGAAGAAATAGAAACAGCAACCTCAAAAGTATATAGAATCTCAAAAGAAAAATAAAGTACCCAACAATATTACAAAAAAAAGAAAGAACGCTGCAGGCATTAAAGTGTCTGATTCAAAGCACATTACAAAGCTACAGAATTAAACAATTTGATATGAGTATAAAAGTGAAAAAGTAAACTAATAAAATAGAATGCAGCACATATACAAACTTTCACATATATGGTCATGTAAGTAGTCATTTATATACTCATAATTATTGCAGCATTGTTACTGTAAGCCAATAGGTAAAAGCAACGTGAATATCTTTCAATAAATCATTCAGTAGATATAATTTGAAATATAAAAATTCTCCCCAGGCACAGTGGCTCACACCTGTAATCCCAGCACTTTGGGAGACTGAGGCAGGCGGATCACAAGGTAAGGAGCTGGAGACCAGCCTGGCCAACATGGTGAACCCTGTCTTTACTAAAATAAATACATACATACATACATACATACATACATACATACATACATACATACAAAAATTAGCCGGACATGTTGGCATGTGCCTGTAATCCCAGCTACTCGGGAGGCTGAGGCAAAAGAATTGCTTGAACCTGGAAGGTGGAGGTTGCAATGAGTTGAGATCGTGCCACTGCACTGCAGCCTGGGTGACAGGGCAAGACTTTGTCTCAAAGGGCTCAAGCCTGTAATCCCAGCACTTTGGGAGGCCGAGTCGGGCGGATCACGAGGTCAGGAGATTGAGACCATCCTGGCTAACCCGGTGAAACCCCGTCTCTACTAAAAAATACAAAAAACTAGCCGGGCGAGGTGGCGGGCGCCTGTAGTCCCAGCTACTTGGGAGGCTGAGGCAGGAGAATGGCGTAAACCCAGGAGGCGGAGCTTGCAGTGAGCTGAGATCCGGCCACTGCACTCCAGCCTGGGTGACAGAGCAAGACTCCGTCTCAAAAAAAAAAAAAAAAAAAAAATCTGGAATATACTCAGCATTCAAAAGCAGGAAATACTCTACCAACTATAAATATAAATCTTGATGGCATTATGCAAAATGAAATGAGCCAATCACAAAAAGACAGATTTTATAACGTATATGAAGCAGTTAGACTGTTAAAAACAAAGAACACAGTGGTATTTGCAAAATGCTATAAAACAGAAAAAACTGGGGCCAGGCATAGTGGCCCATACCTGTAATCCCAGCACTTTGAAAGGCTGAGGCAGGCAGATCACCTAAGGTCAGAAGTTTGAAACCAGGCTGGCGAACATGGTGAAACTCCATCTTTACTAAAAACGCAAAAATTAGCCAGGCCTCATGGTGGGCACCTGTAATTCCAGCCACTCAGGAGGCTGAGGCATGAGAATTGCTTGAACCTGGGAGGTGGAAGTTGCAGTGAGCTGAAATCATGCCACTGCACTCCAGTTCCAGTCTGAGTAGCAGAGCAATACTCCATCTAAAAAAAAAAAAAAAAAAAAGGAGGAGGGGGGCGGGGAAAAGAAGAAAAATTGGTATTTATTGTTTAATGTGTATTAAGATTTAGCTTTGCAAGATAAAAACATTTTAGCAATATGTTGCATGACAATGTCAAGATAATTAATATGACTTTATTTTGTGGTAAATTTTATTATGTTATTTGGACAAGAAAAAATAAATAATAATATCTAAAAGAGATACAGAGTTATGATAGTTTTAAATTATATTCAAATCCAAAAGTGTTTCTCCCACACAAAAATCATATAAATTTACAAATAAATAGGTTGTTGAAATTATAAGAATTTTATGGGCTGAGCACGGTAGCTCACACCTGCAATCTCAGTACATTGGGAGGCTGAGGCAGGCAAAGCACCTGAGGTCGGGAGTTAGAGACCAGCCTGACCAACATGGAGAAACCCTGTCTCTACTAAAAATACAAAAATATTAGCCAGGCTTGTTGGCACATGCCTGTAATCCCAACTACAAAGGAGGCTGAGGCACTAGAATCATTTCAACCCAGGAGACGGAAGTTGCAGTGAGCTGAGATCGTGCGATTGCACTCCAGCCTAGGCAAGAAGAGCAAGACTCCATCTCAATAAAAAAACAAAAAAAACAAAAAGAAGAGAATTTGATGATGACTCATCTACACAGAATTAGAAAACCATTCACAACAAACCAACACAACAAATATACAAGTTACAAAAAAAAACAAGGATAATATTTATTTTTGCATACAGGAAAACAAACATAGAGATAATGCTATTGGAAAAAGACATATTTGACTTTGCTCTATACTGTCTTAAATTGCACAAAATTAAGTATTAGAATGCACAATTATAATAAACACTAAAAATCAAAACACAATTAACGGATGTGTGGTGGCATACCCTAAAATATATAACAGAAAAATCTATAATTGCAAAACAAAGTTAAAACATAGAATGTAAAACTTACTAGATACCTTGGGAGGCCAAGGCAGGAGGATCATGAAGTCAGGAGATCAAGACCATCCTGGTTAACACGGTGAAACCCAGTCTCTCCTGCAAATACAAAAAAATAGCTGGGCATGGTGGCGGGTGCCTGTACTCCCAGCTACTCAGGATGCTGAGGCAGGAGAATGGCATG